GTGTTTCTCGCCATCATTTCTCAATAAAAACTTCGCAAGGCGCAAAAACGTCATGAAACTGTTAAATCTTTCTTGAAGGAAACTACTCACTAGGTTGCTGAAAACTCTTCGACAAACCAAATTGATTTGCAAATGAGTCTAATTTTCGAAAAATTTTAAATCTATTAACGTAATTATTTCTCCACGTAACTAAACTGTACTCATGTGACTGATAAGGGGTCACTTTCGCTGTCTCTGGTTCTAAAACCATTTATTGATCCGATATCGTTTGTCAGCCGATCACTTACCATCTTGGGCAGAGATGATTTGTGCTACTGGAATTAAATTCATTCACGCTTACTGGCTTTCAGAGTTATGATGACAAAGATGGTTGTCTCTTTTGTCAATAAACTTTCATCATTTGGGTCGATATTCAACATACCGAAGTGTACCAAATAGTAAATCTAAATAACTAAACAGACAAAGAATATGGCCTTTTCAGAGAAGCTTGACAAACGATTAGTTAGACACGGTGTGTTTTCTTTCGGACCGGGCTACACCACCGATTTCCGCGCAAAACCATTTCCATTTTTTCTATTCAAACAGTTTGAAACACACTCTGGTGCAAAGAATTGGAAAAAGATGAAGGTTTCCGACGGGCGTTTGGTAGCTTGAAATTTCTGGATCCCGCGTAACTTGATATTACGTAGTGATTATTTGTGTAACTGTTCAGTATCCAATTAGCTAGAGTATGCATGAAAATGAATTGGTTGTTGGCTGTCGAGGATTTTTAGGCAACTTTGTGAGTAGTTTCCTTTATGAAAGCCAAATAGCTGTTTTCTCGAACCAACCGTGAGTTCCCTTCAGTATTCTCGAGCAGATTAGGAAAAAAAGTGATGGTTTGTTGGGGCCACTGATGAGAAAATGCTGATGCTAATTCTGATTGTGTTTTCTGCGGATGAACACGGGTTGTCCATTTCGGAAGTTGTGGGCAGGGTGGTGTCCATCCCTGACGCTCCTGCATCAGTATGGCACCAATGTGTTACGTTCAGACTAAGAATTCCACAAACCTATTCAGCCATTGTAGAAAGATCAAGTGATCTTGAACCATTCATACACTCAATACAGGGAAACCTGATGACTGACAATATGCTGAGATTAAGTCCTCATGATTATTCAGTCGATCGATGGACCTCTGGCGCAACATTTTGAGTGACATCACTATAACCTGCTGACTTTGTGCTACATAACACGCCTGTGATTCACTTGTCTGGTTGGTTGCTCCTACGGTACTGGCATAGTTAAACCATATTAGGCACGCATAAACAAGGCCAGATGCACCAACTCTATCATCTTTTAGTAGGCACAAACTTGAAGAATACTTGTGGATATTTCACCAAGATTGAGCTAAATTACTCCAAAAACCGACTGAAATTCACTACATTCTTCTACATGCGGGTGCAACAGCCCAAAAACTGACATTCTTAGGTCGTCTTGCTCTAAAACACAAGCTTAAGAGTTTGTTAACAAGATGCCCTCGATTGGTTGTGCAGCCAGCGGAAAGTGCCAAATATGGCGTTGGTTAGAGCAGCTTGCCTGCCAACATGCCTGCGGATATTCGAGGAAATAAGTGCACGCAGCATGGTTTGTAGTGGTGAGCATTTCGTGATATGTTCAAGACTTAAGCGGACTTGCTTTACTAATCTCATTATGGAGATAAACGAGCTACCTGTTATACAAACTCACAGTTGGCATTCATTTTAAGTCGATGACCATTTTTACTGCAATGCATGTCTTCAAATTGGCTCCTCTTTAGGAATTTTCCATATTTCGGGAGAAGACCTCTTCTTTTTAAACCGAAAAATGTTTTCGCGCCTTTGAAATGGCTGAGATTATAGAAGCCAGGGTAGTGAGTACACCACCAACCCCGGGACTATTATGGCTGTCATGACATGACTTAAGAAACGTCTAAAAGATAGCCTTTTGGTAAACGTACCATAATTTTTGAAACGATGACTCTTTTACTATGTGCGGCCTTATTGACAACAGGATTCTAATTTAGTGGCTTTTTTGGCTCTTTTATTTAATCCAACTGTGTACTGATCGATACCTTCCGAGGTTTTGGGCGATTGGATTGAGGGCTTTGGAGCAATTGAAGAGTGAGCCCACAGCCAGTCAGATTTACTTCATCGAACATTCATGTGACCTATTTATATGCCGTATTATCCCCCTTACAAAGCAAGACAACTCGTTATATCTCCACAGAGTTCCGGTAATCAGTCGGTGTACTTGTTGTTTACCAAGCCTTTCTGAAAGAATGAGTACTAATCTGTCCCGAACATTTTCCAGTTGAGAATAAGATTTACAATTAAAGACGCCAGAAATCCACTCGGGATTGCTTTTTTGCCTTCATTTTACAACAAGGCTTACTGGCTACCCTGTCCACTATGGAAGAGCTCTCCAAATGAAGAAAATTCAATAAACAGCATGGGATTTTGAGTTTCTTTTAACAAGGATTACTACTCTGTTGTAGAAGTGGAAAAGTGAAAGATATAAGCACTCCAAAAATAGGGAAGGTCAGTTATAAAGCCCCGATTGTAGTGGAGTTTCCCTATTCCAGCGTTTCTCTTGAATAGAACACTCATTAGTTTCTTATAGGTGAAGTCACAAGCGACGCATATAAACGGCCTGATTGCGGCTTGAATATGAAACGCATTTATGTAGTTACTCTTATTTCATGAAACAAACTGATCAGTTGCTGCGAAATCCTCTACCATTTTTGGGGACACCGGAGTGAAAAACAAGAGGTAACTGACGACGATGGCAGTAGGCTGCTACTGTGCTTTGCTTAGGATTTGGTAAACATCAAACGATGTGGTTTTTTTGAATAAATGTTGATCAGCTAAACCAACGTGCCTGCAGAACCAAACGTTCAGCACCGGGATCTCCAACAATGCGTTAAATGCACCCAGTAGTTGTGCTTCTCCAAATTTATATTAATTATTGTGTCTAGTAAGCTACGAAACAGAACCGAAACAAAAGGATTCCAATTAATCGAAATCAAATAACTGTTTCCAGTGCTCCCTTGCAGGAATGTCTACAAAACCAAGATATCAGCCAGATGTTTCTTCGCAGTAGTAGTTTGCACGTTCTTGCGGCTAAACTTTGGTACTTATTGTCAGATTTAACTCTTCTACTGCCTCATAATAAAGAAAAACTACCAGCACTTATGAGAACGAAGAAGGTAGCGATCAAAGCTTGTTTTCTGTGATTGTTCATCTTGGCTAATACATAACAAATTTATATGGTAGCAGAAATCACGTGGAAAAGATTACGATCGGGGCTACATACACTTTAGAGAAACGGAAGTCAAAGGAAGGGGGTTGGGTGGGGGTTAGGTCAATGGGTCACGGAGTCAAGTAAGTGAAGTCAATGTCAGACAGACTTGTGGGACCAGA